TCTCTCCCCCTCTCCCCTCCTGTCAATCTGCTGCCCTATCTAATAAAGGTATGTTTTTTTAATGTTAGAACTCCCTCCTCTGTTTTCTCTCTTATAGGCACATTTCTTCCCAGGGGTGGCTGGGTAAGTTTCATATGAGTGCATTTTTTAAATCTTGTTTTGGAACATGCTGGCTTTATGTGCCATCGGACTTAGGTCTTATTTGTGTGTGTGTGTGTGTGTGTGTGTGTGTGTGTGTGTGTGTGTGTGCCTGTAATCACAGGGGGCAAGAGGTGACCAGGGCTTTAAAGGAGAGAAGGGAGACAAAGGGGAGGAAGGGTTGCCAGGGCGACCAGGTATCCCAGGGAGACCAGGACTTGTGGTGAGTGAAGTTTCCATGGATCTCATCTTTGTGACAAAAAAAAAGTATTAAATCAGTGATTAACTCCTTCCTGACTCATTTCAGGGACCCAAAGGAGAGTCGTTGCTTGGTCCACAAGGCCACCCTGGGGTGCCCGGTTCACCGGGTATCCCAGGCTATGGCAGACCAGGCCCAGTCGGCCCTCCTGGGCCACCGGGGCCTCCAGGACCCCCTACCTCAAGATATGGCTCAGGTACAATTCATCAGTCACACATATGTCATGCAATTACAGCAAAAAAAAAAAACACAGTATAGAAATATCATCTTAGTGTATTGTTCTTGTAGCTGATGAGGTTACACAACCAGTTATGAGTTTGAATAAGTTGTTGACATTTTTTCTGTGGCAGCTTTGACCATTGCTGGCCCCCCCGGACCTCCTGGACCAGCTGGACCCCCGGGACCTTCGGGCAACGCAGCATCTGTACGCAGCTTGTTTCTTCTGGACATGTTGTTTAACTACATATCAGTGATACCCTGGATGCCATACACATTTGCCACAGACACATACAAATTCATTGTTGCTGTAAAATCAGCACCATAACAATATCAAATATTCCATTAACGTTTCCATTGATTGGCAAAATTTGATTCTCTTCATTTGTTCTTCAGCTGAAAACGTTTTCAACCCGTGAGAGCATGATGCAGCAAACCCTCAGGGATGCGGAGGGGACTATGGCGTACGTCACAGCAACAGGAAGTCTCTTCCTCAAGGTTTCCCAGGGATGGAAAGAGATCCAGGTACCACTTTAGACTAGTCCTCTGTATTTAAGTGTGGTAAATCCAACATTAAATCTGTCTGCACTAAAGATATGCAACATCAATACTGAGCCTCATTTTAAAACATTACATATGCACATTAATGTAAGAATATTGAACGGGGTTGTTGTGTTTCAGTCTGCCTTGACCAGTTTTTAGCTGCAGCGTACAGTAGTTAGAAACATACCCAGGGCTGCCCCCTTTTTTTTAAATGATATGCATGTAGGTCAAGACTTAACTGCAGTTTAATTGCTTTTCTGTTTATTTCTTGGATCTTTTCATGGTCAGCGAAGCATTGAGTGAGTTTTGTGATTCGCCTTTGGCACGTGTCTAAATCTAATCCTGGTTAACAAATTCTGTGGGTATTGGAAAATATGTCCTTTCTGGAATGAATGCTGGCAGATCCTTTTTGGCTGATTTCTGTGACTTATTCACTGGCTGTGAATCAGCACTCCAACATCACTACTGGTTACTGAAACACTTTTGAAGGCCAGTCGCTCTATTTGAGAACACGCTCAATGATTAATCAAGCTGTGTTACAGCAGTGTTTGATGAAATGCTCTTTATTGATAGAAATCAAGAACTTTTCATGAAAAATACAATGTGTTCATATTTTATACTATATACAAAGCTGGTTGTTTGACATGTCATGTTTTTTGTTGGCCATCCAACACTTTTAATATAAAGGCAAGTTGAGTTTAAATAACACAACATATTGACTATAATATACAGTCTTGATTTTTCGGTGTTTTTGTCTCCACAGCTTGGCAATCTGATCTACCTCTCCAATAACATTATTCCACAAGATGAGGTACCCTTTACTTATTTGTATTGCTTTTTGCTCAGTAGAAATATGCTATTGTGGAATGCTGTACTGCGTGTGCATTATTTATCCATTTAATATCTCTTCTCAACTATTTGTTTAGCCTCACGTTGCATATCAGATAAGAGGAGACACAATGGAAAGAATACGTTCAGTTAACGGAAGGGTGAGTGTCAATATGACTGTATTATTTTAGATCATTTTAACTGGCTTGATTTGACTCTTCACGCTGCAATATTGAATACTACTACTACAATGAATTTTCGAGAAGGAATCTATGAAACATGTAACATGTGCTTGTGTAAAATAAGGACAATTATATTTTTATATGGTTTTCACAACAGAGTTCTCTTCATTTGACTCACACATCCACACCAAATGCATCAAAACGTATCAACATGCTGAAAATGTAATGCATGTTGATTTATAGTGCAGTGCAGACTAACCCTTGTAACTCTAGGCTCTGCGGTGTTGTATATCATTCCTTAACCTTACAATCTTCTGAACTAACAGCAATCTGTTGCTTCCTCTTCCACCAGCTCAACCTGGTGGCCCTGAACCAGCCCCACTCAGGCGACATGATGGGGCTCGACACGGCTGACCGCATGTGTTACGAACAAGCCAAGGCGATGGGTTTGGCTCCAAACTACCGCGCCTTCATTTCTTCCCACAGGCAAGACCTGGTCCATGTGGTCTTCCCTGGTTTCCGGGAAAATCTGCCAGTTACCAACCTCAGGGTCAGTTTTTCTTCCCTGCTGTTTTTTTTTTATTATTGCCAAGCAACTACTTATACTAACTTTTATCATGCAGGGTAAAGTATGTCTGGCTGCATCTAACCCACTGTGCGTCTTCTTTTAGGGAGACGTGATGTTTAGGAACTGGCGGTCAATTTTCAATGGCGACGGGGGGCCAGTCAATGCCAGGATACCCATCTACTCCTTTGACGGCCGGGATGTTTTAGCTGACCCCTTCTGGTCAGTAAACATGACTGAGTCCCTGCTTGTCTCTTCATGTCTTCTTATTCTTATATTTTTTGTCATGTTCATATATTCTGTCATCTTTCTGTCAGGCCCCAGAAGAGCATCTGGCACGGCTCCAGCAGCAGGGGTCTCCGAGTGGTGGACAAACACTGTGAGACGTGGCGAGCGGACCACATGTCTGTCACGGGCCAGTCATCGAGCCTGACCTCAGGTCTGCTCCTGGGACAGCAGACGCGGAGCTGTTCCAACCAGTACATCGTTCTTTGCATCGAGACTCACAAAAATGCTTAAATGCGCCCCATACCACTCCACCAAGGAACCCATCCCAGCCACCGTAAATGTCAAACACTCGGGGAAAAGATTTGAGTGTCTTCCTTAGAAAAGGACGTAGTTTTCAGCACATCTTTGGTGCTACGTGTAGCATTTTGAAGACCACATTTAACACACATCCTCTTTGTTCACAAAGAGGATGTTTATTTATTTAGGTTCAGGTTATTTTTCTCCTCTTCTGGCATCACTGAGTTCTTTGTGATGAGCCAGAAGATTAAGAGGCAGTAACAAACTCTCAACAGATGAGATATAATATGGGAAGGTAAGCTAACATGAAGTTGATGCTATGCTGTGAAACTGGAATGATTTTGTGGATGGCTCACAACCAAAATTTGTGCCTTTTTTTTTTTTTTTTTTTTTTTAAGATAAATGTCCCTTTTGTGTTGTAAAGCAATCCAGAAGATTCCCACTTACGTTAAACCTGGTGGCACATAATTTTAAAAGCAATACAGAGCCTGACAGTCTCCTTGTACTTATTCACGACAGTAATGCTAACACTTCAAAGAGAATGTGGTAATGATTTATTAATGTTAAAATGATACACGCAGCACCTTTTTAACCTTTACTCACACCTGTTCCCCACATGGTCACCCAGGTGTGTTGAGAATGAGACGTCTCTCTTTCAAGTTTATTGTCTGTTTGTTGTTCATCAGACTGGAAGTAGAGACTCATGGGCTGCAGGAACCTGCACCTGTCCTGAAATGTGGCAATTTTTTACATTTTCTTTTTTTTTTTTTTTTTTAACAAAGATTTCCAAAGACTTTTGTGATGGGAGCATCAAGCGCTACTTTCACTGTTTTGTTTACAGGTTGTCGTGGAGAGTTTTAAGTTTAAATTTCAGTAGAACTTTACTCAGTGGGCAAGACGTTTGTTTCAATAACTTACACAGTCCCTCGTCCAACAGTGGGATGACCAGACAGCCGGTGTTGCCACCAAAGTAATTTTTAATGCACTGTACTTTATTATAAAAATATTTTCTAATTCAGCATTTTCATCCTTGAAGGTATTGTTTGTGTTGTAGCTTTTCATACATCACTTCTTAGCAGCTCTAACTCTCAATAGGCTATTTAATTTAAACTCAATGATTTATTTATACCGTCACAGCACATAACATGAAATCAGATGATTAAATTTAAGAATGTAATTTATCGTTTATTGTTTGTCAAATAACTGTTTCTTCTCACTTTATGCCTCTTTTTATATTGTTTGTACAGTTTTTGTTTTTTATTATTGATTTCTGGGGAATGTTGAGAGTCAAAACTAAATTTCTTCTCAGTGTAGAGATACAATTGAAACGAGCTAAATATTTTCATGCAGGAAAAAAAAAGAATTCTAGAAAAAGAAATCCCAAGGGAAAAAATGACAGCACATGTTTTTGTATAAATATTGGTGCTTTGATGAATAAATTTTTCTCTTTTCATAAACTTGTTCTTGTTTAATTCTCAGTTTGCTAGTGGAGCATTAAGCAATGTTAAGTGAAATTAATAAATCCACCAAAAAATGTGTTTTGAATACTGGCTGCTAAAGTTTGGATTTATTTTTTAACATGTTTTGTATGTGTCATTAATTGAAACAGAAGTCTGTGTGGTAGTAGTGGTATACTGTATACCTTTTGTGAGTAATTCCACTGAATGTAATTCTTGCATAACTTGGTTTTACACTGAAGGTTAAAGGTTTTGTAAACAATATCCAAATATAGCTCTGCAAACAATTTTCCTTCCAAAGGTAGTGTTTTTGAATGTTTTTTAGTAGATAGTAGTAGAGCTGCACAGATTGTCTTACTTTACTTTGACAACATAGAAGTCTTTACATCAGAACACCCTTGCTGAGGTTTTTTTTGGCCTCTTGGACATGAAGGCATTCAAGGTACTAGCTTACGATTTCTTATTTTAGTTTTAATCAAAAGACTGGAGCCTGTTAAAGCACACTAACTGCTCTAACTTTGATGTGAAGGTCCTGTTTGTCCTCCTGACTACTGCAGCAGCAGCTGACGGTCAGTCTTTCCACCGTGGCAGTTGCCCCCAGCCATCTGTTCAAGATAACTTCAATGTTACAAAGGTAAAATACTGACGGAATATTACATGTATTCAGATCCATCACTGATGACTTTTGTCATGTATTGATTTTGTTCCTTTTGGCCATTTGTGGACTGTTGCCATTTTTACCTACTTTATATGGAAGTGTGTATATATGTGGCAGGTCGAGTTTTACTGTCTTTTTTGAAGGAGATGCCATAAAAACACAGCTGCCAGCTCCTGATGGACTGCTGACTCTTCAACAACCTTTGTGCTCTTCTCTTTCTAGTATATGGGCACCTGGTATGAAATAGAGAAGCTCCCAGCTATGTTTGAGAGAGGAAAATGTAACCAAGCCACATACAGTCCTCTCGTCGATGGGACTGTCAATGTTCGCAATGCAGAGCTGTTGTAAGGATTAAAGTTTAAAACATTATTTGGTTAAAAAGAAAAATCCTTACTGGGAGTGTCACCCTTCAATCTACATTTGTAACAAGTATGGATGGATTTCTTGTACTATTGAAGTGAATTAGTTTTTGTTTTCCTTCTTACTCTCTACAGGTCTAATGGGAAGATTAATTCAATTGAGGGTGTTGCCAAAGTTAAAAACTCATCTCAACCTGCTATTCTGGATGTCGGCTTCTTTAAAGGTAAATATACTGTGAACATATATGTGCTAGTACGTTTTACTATTGTACTACAATACAGAATAGCTACCATCTATATCTGTATCCAGGTGTTCCAGATTCTCCCTACTGGGTGCTCTCCACAGACTACCAGTCATATGCTCTGGTGTACTCCTGTTTTGACTACTTTGGCCTTTTCCACATCGACTTCGCCTGGATCCTGGCTCGCACTCGGGTGTTGACTCAGGACGTCATCAGCCAGTTACGTGACACGCTGGCTGCTGCTGGTGTGAACATAAACCGCCTCACTGTCAGCAATCAGACCGGGTGTGATGTGATGACCTGAGGCGTGATCAGCACAATGAACTGAAGTGGAAGAAAGTGCTGAATTGGCTGTTTTGAACTGTAGCGCAAACTTCAAGCACAGTACTTTGTTTATATCGTACGTTAGGCTGAGTCAATGCAATCAATAGAAATACACAAGACTGCATTATGTTATTGATTGAATGTTGAATCTACATCTTTCTGTTTTTAAGGTTAAACATTAAAATTAAAGTAAATCAGTGTGGCCATAAAACAGCTCTATCATCAGTTCATGATGTTCTAATAATCAGAGGCATTTTGTGCCTTAAAATCTTACTGCTGTTTACACTCATGCACACAACAAGAAACTGTGATATTCTTTGATAGATTCAATGACACATGGAGTTGTATAGCTCAGTGAAATAACCATGTTCTTATAGTGTATTTATTATGCTGTGGGTCATGTCAAATTTGGTTATGAATCATTAGCGTATAATCCCCCGAGGTTAGCTGAATTAATTTTTTTGTAAAAAGGAGAGAGAAAAGACATATTTGCGTCTCAGTTTGAATTGTAATCTATCCTATTAATTATTATTATCATTTTTTTTTATTTAGTTACACCTTTAGTGCATATTTATTACACAAATATTTTAGGTCATCCTCCTAGAAAATACTTTAATGTGTTTGTGTCCTTAAAATACAGCTTTTTGGAAATATGTTTGACATGTTTGACATAATCTGGAGCAATAAAGTAAAAAGTCAATTAACCAAGTGGATATTTTGGAATAATTATCACCACCGAAAATATTATAAAGATGTTTATGCTTGCATGTTGTTCCTTAATCATTTGTTAGAAAACATTATTTTTAAAATTTGAAGACAAAGGTGATGCTTTTATTTTGAAGGAAGTAGACCGGAAGTATTGTGGACAGTTATAAAGCGGTTCTGCGCAAGCACACTGGCTACCATTTTTCGGCAGGGGTGAATAACTTTCTGCTATTGTGATATATTTCTGAGGCTTTTTATTGCATTTTAATCGACAGTGAAAGCTGAAGAGTGGCGGGAAAGGGTGGAAGGAGAGAGGGGATGACAAGGAAGTCGACACAACAGCGACAATGGCGACACTAAAACCTACCGCATTAGGTTTTACAGTTAGAAAAATGACTTTGTTATTGTTTTGCATGTCTCTTTCGTGTCTGCCGTTGTATTCCTCCGCCAGTAGAAACGACAGACCCATTATCGGTAAGTTTATTGGCACTTATTCACTGCAACATACACGTTAGGTTACATTTTGAGGCCAATATAAACTAAAATATCCAACTTACCCGTAGTGTTTGTTTTCATTTGCAAAGTCACCGGTGTCGAGTAACGGAACTACGTATGCGCGTTTAAACTCGTTGTTTGTTCTTTTTTTTTTTCTCAAGGTGTTCTGGCTCAAGAAGTTTATTCACCAAAACCAGATCAGACAGTTTACATCGCTGCCTCTTATGTGAAATTCCTGGAGTCAGCAGGGGCGAGGGTTGTACCTGTCATGTGAGTTACTGTCTAACTTGCCCAACTTCATAACTGTGTAACAGCCTGTTAACACACCATGTTCACCTCTACAGGATCAACCAGACACTGGAGGAGTATAAGGCACTGTTCAACTCCATTAATGGGTGAGTGTGTTATAATACAATAACCAGTTTAGCTGTCATGTTATTCCAAAATGAACAAACTCAATGACATTTGCTGAAAGGTTCCTGTTGACTTTATCTACAGGGGTTGACAGAATAGCCCTAAAAGCCATAAAAGCCATAAAAGCCCTGCAGTTTTAACTGTTCAGAGTGACAGACATTTGTTTTATGAAGCAAATATCCCATTAAGTATTTGTTTCCCCCATGTCATCAGGACTTTTACCCACATCGTATTACATAATTCTGCAATGATTATGACTGATGCACCAGCAGAAGCTACTGTAAATATTGTTTACAATGGTAGATAAATGTGCAAGTCATACATTTTTAATAATTGGTTAAAAGTAAAACTGGTTAGATATAATAATTAGATATAGCAACATTTGGCTACTTACATTGGTACAGTGACGTTATGAAGGTGGTGCATCAGTTGCAAATTTATATAATGTGGAAAGCAGTAAAGTCTGAGAGTGCCTGCCAACACAGTAACGTTAACACATGTCACCTTGAGTATTTCAAATGCTTTCCTGTTATTTTGTACACCTTCTGTATATATTCTTTAAAAAAAATTTGAAAGAAACAAACCATTTTGTGACCGTTTCTTTGCGAATCATGACTCAATGTGTTGTGTCTTCGTTAACAGGATCCTTTACCCAGGCGGGGGTGCCAGCATTATCTCATCTGGTTATGAAAGGACTGCAAAGATCTTTTATGAGCTGGCTATTGAGGTAAAAATGTAAAAATACTAGTAAACTTTCTTTTTTTTGTGTGTGTTGATGCTGGATTATGCTGCATGCTGTACGTGATGTTTCAGGCAAACAAGAAAGGCGACTATTTTCCTGTGTGGGGCACGTGTCTTGGATTTGAACAGCTGACCTATTTGACGAGTGGAAACACAGTACTGTCACACACCAATACAAGCGGCGTGCCATTGCCTCTGAACTTCACTGACGGTATGACGTTATTTGACACATTTTTAGGGAGACTGATATTTAGATAATGTCCATGTAAAGGTTGTAGCAGCACAGCCATGGTCCTTGAAATCCTTGAAGGTTTGTGAATTTGAGAAGTCTCTTTTTAATTTGCGAGCTTCTGTAGCATGTTAGTTTTCATAAAAACTAAAAATTCTCAGTGTTGTAACAGTAATTAACCTTGATCCATTGGGTCCTTGAATTAGAGGGAATTGGGCCTGGAAAGTCCTTGAAAAATGCTTGAATTTGATGTTTAATATGGTGTGGGAACCCTACTTTACATGTTAATAATGCACCCTCTTTACATACACTGCTTTAAACACCTCGTGAAAAATGTGCACATTTGTTTGAATAAGCTCATTTTGTTATTAATGATCTATCTATCTATCTATCTATCTATCTATCTATCTATCTATCTATCATCTTATGACCCATTTCCAGAAACCAAAGACAGCAGGCTGTTTAAAGGCTTCCCAGCTGAACTCATGAAGGATCTGGCCTCTCAGCCGTTGACAGAAAACTCTCACAAGTGGAGTCTGGCAGTGCTGGTACGTCATTCAGTACTATTTAGAGTGTAGTTTAATTGGGAGTGCGTAGTAACTGACCTCTCGGCTTCTTCTTTCAGACTTATAACACAAATGAGGAGCTGAAGAAGTTTTACAAAATTCTCTCCACAAACACGGATGGAAAAATAGAGTTTGTGTCAACGGTGGAAGGTAGTTAAGACTGCAGCGTCACTTTATCAGTACGTAATACCGGAGGGAACTCGTTTAATGAGCACTTTCTCCTCCCTTACCTCTCGGCAGCGTATGATTACCCAATTTACGGGACACAGTGGCATCCAGAGAAAAATGCATTTGAATGGACGAGGCCTTACATTCCACACTCTCCATCAGCAGTCAAGACCACCTTCTACATGGCTGAGTTCTTCGTCAGTGAAGGTACGAACACAGCATTATGTTTGGGGGGGCCTTAATGAAACAGTCAGTACTGTGTGATCTATAAATCTTGTGTTTATTTCTCCTCTCACAGCCAGGAAGAACTCGCACAGATTTGATTCTGAGGAGGACGAGAGCAAAGCACTGATATACAACTACAATCCTGTTTACACTGGGTCCAAGAGCGGCTTTGAGCAAATCTATTATTTCTGATTCGCTCTGACGTTTGTTTGCGGAGTGCTTTTTCCTTTTCAGCAGCTGATTGGCTGTTTCACCCGCGTGACTTGTGAATGTTTGCAGATTATTTGGCTTGTTTGATTTAGCCTCTGCTGCTCACTCCATCTGTTGAATCTTAACCAAGAAGTAAACTGGAAAGAGGGCAGATTTATACACGCAGCGTAATTCTTGCAAGATTGCAATGCGAGATTGTTGATTCTCGTGGATGCTGTAGCCCGATTTACAGCTGAGTAATTAAATGTCATTACGGAGAGTGAACATAGTGACATTGTAAGGAATTTTGCCTTGAAAACTTTGTTTACAGTCTACACTGCGCTAATCCATTGCTTATGGAAAAATATTGATAAAATGAGAATCTATGTGCAATATAAAACCTCGTTTCCAGTCGCAGCAGGCAGATGTTTTCAGCTGAAACGCTGTGATAAACAAACTTTACACTGCCTTCTCAGCACCAAACAGCAAACAAGACAATTAGCAGCTAGTTAGTGGAGCGTTTAGCAGCTACAGAGCCAGAATATTACTCTCTGGGTTTATTGGAAACCAAAACAGAGGAAATGTTGGACTTACATTTTGTGGGTCACGTGAATGTCGCCATGAGTCAACGTTGTCTTCCTCTTGTTCCCCAAGTGACCAGAAAAATCAATACAGCTTTAATATTCACAAGACCAACAAAAAAGATGAGCCAGAAAAGACTGAAGGCTGATAAAATATCTATTTTTTTATTCTAACATTTACCTTCATGCCACAGTCTGACATTAATCTCCTTCTATGCTTTGGATAACAAAGTTGAGCGTCTTGAAAAAGTCCTCAACCACTGGCAAGAAAGTTCGATGTTGCCATTGGCATTTATAAAGTCCACTTTCAACTCAATTCAAGGACAGCAACAGGAGAACAGAAATGAATAGTCAAATGTAACTTCCAAAATGCTTTATGCACAAATAACACTCAGGTAATATTGTTTCTGTTTTCTTTTCTTTTTTTTTTTTTTTTAGAATAAAATGATATTTGAATAACATTTACACATCAAGCTGACGAGACTGGGATCTCAATCACAATACTACTGGAAATGTAATTTATGCAATCCAGTAAGGAACATTCAAGATGTCAAAATTACCATGTGGAGCTGAGCTATCGGGATAGTGCTGCAAATAACCTCTTAACATGCACTGAAACGTAACACAAATGGCCATTCAAATTAAAAATGGAAAATTAAACTTGTGCCTCAGGAATTCATCATTTCGTATGTCATGTTGGCATGTCTTCATTGGACATTTTTCTACCTTATATACAAATGCATAATTTCTCGGGGTGTAACACTAATCCTAATGGCTTCTTGCCTTCAACCTTGAACTATGTATTCACTTTAGTGTGAAGTGACACAGCACTTTCAATGACAAACACTGCAGTCTCTGTACTGGTTGTACATGTTCGTCACCTCCCGTTCTTAAACATCTTATAAAGCAACGATGCATGCAGATTCTGTACACTTTTTTCAGTGGGCATATTTTCAGAGAATGGTTCATTTTCTTTTCTGTGAAAATCCCTTCAGTTTCACATATTAGCTGTTGAGAGTAGCTCTTATTATAGTATAGTCTATTTCAAGCTATAGATTTTAAGGACCAGTGTGTAGGATTTCTTGGCATCTAGCGGTGAGATTGCAGATTGCAACCGACTAAATCCCCTTGTCTTAACAAAGTGCGACGGAGAAACTATGGTGGCCACGAAAAACACAAAAGGCCCTATCTACAGCCAGTGTTTGGTTTGTCTGTTCTGGGCTACTGTAGACAAAAACGTGTCATTCTAAGGTAACAAGGACACAACAATTCCTATTTTCAGATGATTAAACACTAATGAAAACATATCATTGAATATTCTATTCCATTTCTGCCAGGAGACCCTCCTAAATGTTACACACTGGACCTTTAACAATAGCTGCCATTTTGGGATATATGCTTATTCGCTTTCTTGCCACAAGTCTGATCCAGGAGACAGCTAGCTTAGCATAAAGACTAAAAGCAGGGAGAAAACAGCTAGCCTGGCTCTAGTGACTCCAGGAAGTGAGTGCTCCTGTCATAACCGACCCATAAAACCACAATTTGTAGTTTTTGTACAGGTGAAATACATCAAGTCACAGTATAACTCGCTAAGAGGAGCTAGTAGACAGAGCCAGGCTAACCTTATGCTAAGCTAACCGGTTGTACCCTCAGATTTAACAAACATGATAGTGGAATCAATCTTTTCATCTAACTCTTGACAAGACTGCAAATTAGCTAATTTCCCAAAATATCAAACTATTCTTATAAAATTAGCCTCGTTGTAGTTCATAAATGCAATCCCACAGCATACTTCTCTGACAAAGTAAGGCACAGTGACTAAAACGAATTGATGCTTCTGTTTGATTAAACTGGATCGTCACAATAAAAGCGTCTCAAATGAACATGAACAAACCCATGGTATTTTTTTTTTCTTCTAAACATTTCGCCAGTTAAGAGAATTGTGTCAGCGTCACTGAAATAAATAAAATGAGGCTACGAGATGAAACCAACATCAGGGCAAACAGGAATACCAAAAGAAAATATATCCGTAATAGCCGAGTGAATGTCTGTGTGCTATTTTACATACTGTAAGAACAATAGACACAACCACAGTCCCACATGAAAGTTCTTCACAACTTTAAAAATAGTAACATTTCCTGTTATCCGCACAATTCCAGACACCCGTAGTGAACAACCAAAGTTTTTCACCAGGCGTCTGAGTTTCATTAATATACAATCCCACCAGTTATGTGCTATAAGGTGTTCCTTCTCCTCACAGCTTCAAAGTCTGTGTGAGAGCTGATGCTTTCTCTCCACTGCTTTTGAGGAGCTGGTCCATCCTGCTGTGAAGCTTCCTGTTAAATCGATCGGTATATTCCAAAACATCGCGTCGGGTCATCAGTCTTTGTTGGCTCTCTGGAGGGGCCTTTTGGGTTTGAACTCGGGGCAGAAGATGTGAGGGTGGATGTAGGAGTAGATCTGTCGTCTGCTGGAAAGGCAGTCTCAAAAATCAAAATCAAACTGAGAACAGGTGAGAGTTGCATATTGTGGATGACTGTATGCCAGTGTTGTGCTTGGGCACAGAGACAGGATGGAGGTTAGTGTGTGCGGAACGTATGGGTGGGTAGGATTTGGGATCTTGGGCACGTGACCCTCAGGAGGCCAGGCTAACCCTCGTCTTCGCTCTCCTCCTCCAGCGCCTCCTCAAATACTATTTCTGGTAGCCTGAAGCATTCCGCGAAGAAGTTCACCAGGGACTGACTGAGGTGCTGCCTTGTTGCTTCGCTGTGAATGAAGTGGCCTTCGTCTGGGTAGATCTGAGACACAAAGGTTTACATGGGTGAGACGTTGCTTTTGGCAACATTTTCTGTCACAAACAACAACAGTTATCAGATGATTATATTTTGATGTCCTGATAGAGAGTGGGATAGGTCACTGATGAAGGTGTAGGTGGAGCAGATCTCTTAGATTTAATATTTACATGAGACAGAAAGTTTTGACATTACCACAAACTCAAGTATGCATTTTCCACTCCAGAAAACCAAAACATATTTTTGTGGTGATTTCAAATTCTCAATTCAGAACCAAAACTAAAATGTTTACATGGTCAGTAACCTGTGTTTGAGCAAGATGAAAAGTCAGATTCATAAAAGTACCAATACCACACTGTAAAAGTCATTGATTAGAAGGAAAAACCCTTCATATTAAAGTAAAAGTATGCAAGTATAATTAGGAAAATGAACTTAAAAGTCCAGTGTGTAGGATTTAGTCGCATCGAGTGGTGTAAAAAATGTGAACACCCCTAACTAGTTCTATCGTGTTAGGTGATGTTGTGTTAGCGAAAACAAAAAGGGATGCAATTTTAAATAATTCTAAACAAAGAAAAGCTAATATTTATCATTAACATTCTTGGATTTCATTTTGCACTAAATGGGACTACATTTCTGGAGTATGCACTTAACAGAAACATGTTTATATGGGTTGACCTAAAACCTTTTTGAGAGCTATGAAAAACCAGGTTAATGCATGTGTGCACAGTAACCTATCAGTCAGTAATAAGCTCCAATGAACATTCAGCTGCAGTACATTGTGTCTTAATTGGATTAGTCCTGGTGGTAATGCAGGATGCCCAAGAAGGTCTCATAATCTCATTATGTGGAATGAAGGCATTGTGAGGGCTAATCCTCCGCCCGCTGTGGGATCCCACTGGGATCACAAAGCTCCCAAAGGTTGGAGGAGAACTGAATCGGGTGAAGAAAGACAAGTAGGGAAATTGGATCAGCAGCGGCTGTAATTACAAAGGAGTGAAGGTAGAACCACATACCTGTAGAGTGTAGTTGGCCTTTTCACTGATGAGCTGGGCGATGAATTTCGCTGTATGTTGAAAATGGACTTTTTCTGGGAAAACATGAGACATAGGCCCAGATGTCAGAAACAGTACATCCTATTGCTTAATAAGATTTTCAATGTGTAGAAATCCTCATCTTACCATCAGCTGTCGGATGGATAATAAGAAACTTCTTATCTATGAACTGAGATGCTCTGTGGGCTAAATTTGCCATCTGAGGGGTAATGAGACACACAGCAGCACATTAGATCTAATTAGATGCTACAATAATCATCACAACTGGAATTTCACAATCACATCTTACCGTGTATGCCCTTGGATCCGGTTTAGGCAGTCCGAGGTATCTCTCTGAAAATGCAGAGGCTACAGGGGAGAGACAAGGGTTCAATTAACACTTTACTTTCAAGTCAATTCAAAACTTCATATTAATAACAAGATTGATGTCATTTCTGTCTTGTTCTCTGGCCACTTTGAAGGGGAAAAAGTACACTTTTCCATGTTTGTTTCTTCTCCATATTCAAATACATTCACCCGTCTACACATTCTTTAGTCTCGAAGCCTTTGCGGACCGCCTTCATTTGCAATTCCAAACTTATACAGTGTCATGGCATGTCTCTCACCCTGTCTGGCAAACGCGAGAGAAATCAAATAGATAGGAAATCAGTCACACCGCGACACCCAGCTCCTCCTTAATTTGCAGTTTCCTGACTCGGTGCAGCTACAAGATCTCCGTCTCTCTCCCGACGCACACTATTCTACATTTCACACATTTTATTCCTTTGGTAGCGGAGGTGAGGCTGGGGTAGTTAACTTTGCCTGGCACTGTTATGATTGGGTTCTAAGGCGTATCTGCACCATCACTGATAAGGTGAACACGCTTTTTTTTTCTTTCACACACAAAGTACATACAGTACATGTATAAAAGAGTCACTGCAATAATCCCCAGCTGCAGGGGGGGGGGTGCCAGATTCGCAATCTCTGTCTGCCTTTTTCCTTTTGAATGCTTTCTGCCGGAGCCTGAGAGATTATGCAGAGATTCTTCTGTAGCACATACAGCAGAGACCGCAGTACACAGGTTAAAAAAAAAAATCACCACAAACAAACACAGCTCACCATATAACTCAAAGTCGGTGATGGGCGAGAGGACAGCGCCGCACTTTACAGGGGATTCCTCGCCGCTGACCAACAGGCTGGTCACATAGCCTCCATACACCTGAGGTACGACAGAAATGCATCACAGAGCCCGAGGAACTCCGCTTTCAAATATACAGCAGACACACGGCACACTGTACCCAAACTGACACTCCAAGAACATAACAGTCCAACACGTCGTACACTGAGTATGTTCTTACCTTTCCAAAAGCTCCAACTCTGGTTTTGTCAATGTACGGCTCTTTCAAAATAACACTGCAAAAGATAAACATTAGCTCCTGTTAGGAAGAACGTCTCTGTCATAGCAGCTGAAGCTAACACGTACAAGGTGTTTTTTAGGAGGAAGGAACTTTAACATTTCCTGTTACGACAAGAAACACTAGAACTGCTACAAGCGATTACTGTTGCTTCAGCATTACTTTTAAAAGCAAAGTGCTTCACAGATTAAAAAGAGATTATATTATTGTTTTAATGCTGTTACAGTTATTAAATCCAACTACTTCTGTGATACGTGTGTGAGCATGCTTTAAATAAAATATACGCAGATTCTTAATATGGTGGCATGTTCTGATTTAATAGAAATTTCTTGTTTTACACAGATTTAAATTTATTTTATGAGCCAATTCATCCCTATTGAGATGTAATGTCTTCATGTCAACACAGATACTATTTCATAAACTAATCTAGCTATCCTCAAATATAAATTAACCTGTAAAAAAATGATACTCACCCTGTTTCTAAATGTGGAAAATATCAAGAAATAAAGAGATTGGAAACCCCCATTTTTTAGAAAAGTTGTGTTGAGATGTTAGAGAATGTCAGTGGTATTGAAAGTAACCCATGTAGCTATTTACTGCATGTTTACTCTAACGTCTGTTACATTTTTAAAAACATTGCATACTTGAGTGCATCATTCTGATCCTGTTCCTCGAACACGCCCAGCTTCTTCTGGATCCTGTGCAGCAGGTTGGTGCCCTGGAAGCCGCTGCCCCGTCCGTCGCAGCGCACCACGATGGCGCCGAAGCTGCTCACCAGCACTGTGCTCCAGTCCATGTGAAACTGCTCCGCCACCATCTGGCCACCGGGTGTCCCGTCACTGCATGGATACGAACACAGAGGACTGCTAAATGCAATGCTTTTCTATCTGATATCAGAATAAAAATGAAAAAGGAGGATAGCAATTAGGAGGTTGTGTGGGATGTTTTTGGGTGTTTACTATTTACTATGGGTATCTGTAAACTGGCAGTGAGCTACATTGTGCAGGGAAGGTAATCCAACATCAGAAGAATATCAGCATAAGAATGAAAAAAAATAAAGCTGAGCATGCAGCAGATGTAACTTGTTTGAGAACAGTAAAATTTGATATCTATTAAAAATGTTATTATTGCAGATGCTGCTGACTGATTATTTGAGACCTGTGGGTGCTTAAAGTGCAACTGTTTAAGTCTAAACATAAACCCTTTTGTTGAGGAAAAAAAAGTTGGAAAGTTGACTTAACTTTAACTAATGCTAATGTAGCACGGTGTTCATAGATAAGCCACCATGGCCACTTTCATAAGATTAGAAAAATGAGCATACAGGGAAATATGGTAATGTTTTTCTTTTGGAAATATGCAGGCAGAGCACAAAAGGCCAAATTCTGGAAAGCTTAGATTTGAGCTGCAGAGTTAAAGATAGTTAAATGCCTGCGGAAAGAAATGATAATGAAAGAAAGGGGTGGACAGGAGGGTAAGTTTCCTCATTCACAGTGTAATTATTATCCAGCTAGAGAAGAGGCACGTCTTTAGATTAATATTCACGATTAAGACTACAATGATGAGGACAGCCATGTCCTCATAAAACTCGGAGTGAAGTGTAGACATTAGTCAATGCTGCTAATAGACATAAAGTGTGTGTGCACCAAATCTACTCTGCGGAAGTGTGTGAAAGCGTGCGCTCATACATACACAAGCAGGAGCAGGGGATAGTGGGACGTTTCCACGAAGCCGGCAGGTTTGAGGATCTGCAACGACAAGGCTGTAATGCAGATACAAACAGCTGTTAGTCACAACACAGTGCTGTCAATACACCATAAATTCACTCAGACATTTATTGGGTATGTATATTTTGAACCCTACAAATGTGTTCTCTTTAATTACCAATTAATGATGACAAAGTATCATGAATCATAGTAAAGTTTATGTGCCATCTGCATTAAGTTTATTTTATAAAAGCACATCGGAATTTCATTTAGTGCTTTCAAAAGAACAGATTTCAGTCAGGGGAGAATGTAAATGAGGAAGTGTGATTTCACAGGAATGGAGGGATAGTGAGTCGCATCCCTAGTTGCTTGAAAAGGAAGAAAAATTGGTGTGTTTCTAAATTACAATTAAAACATCACAGTTTACTGTACTGTACAGCAGCTGGGAAAAAAGGTTAACATTTGTTAACAAAGTTTGTTTTTCAAAAGGAAATACTGGATAGTTTTACCTCTTTGGGCCTCTAAAATACAGTCAAATTACACAATATATAAGAGGGGAGAATCTTCATTTAAAATAATCTTTGTTCGAGCTAATTCACATATACAACCTGCTTCATTTTAATGGTTACAGGCCAAAAGGGTTGGGAACAACTGTTACTGACTCTTACGTGAGTATCTAATGTCTGTAAAGTTTGTCAACTATCAGGTTTGCATATGTGGTCTTCACTTTTCCATTAATGTGACTGTGGTTGTGACACATACTGTAGTCATCCATGTTGATCTCCTTGTACTCCACTATGGGCATCTGCATGGAGTCCAGGGTCACCCTCAGGTTCTCATTGCTCTCCAGTTTATGTACTTCTGCAATACCTGTAGACGGCAAATGATTAACCAATGAGCTAACTTCACTTTAATAATGTGCGGACAGAAACACGGCGAGAACTAAACATATATAGTCCATAGTTATGATACCTAACAAGCAAGTCATGGTACAATACACAGCAAAAATACTCTCATCATAAAATTAAAACTAAAATTCAATCAGCTTGTTTTTATTTTCCATGGAGTTCTAATACAAAAAACAGTTATTTAATGCAAATCTGTCATCAAAACCAAAACCAATTTACTACTGACATGTCATTATTAACATCTTCATTTTTTGTTTAAATTTGTCACTCAAAGGAAAATTGATTGAACCTGGACATGGACATCTAATTTTATTTTAAATGATATTTAATATGAATGTTTTATAGTTTTTTATTAATATATGTATGACCAATCTGTTAAATGGTTGGTGAGTTATCCCAGTGCAATAAAATAGAGTATTCATTTTTGATCAGTTGGATGGTTTAGAAATATATATGGAGCTATTGCATGCATTACAATTACTACAAAGAAGCTCCACACAATATCAGAGCCTCCCTTTCTCCAAAACTTTCAGCAGGAGCTCAGACAAAATGCAAACCAGAAAAAACAGACACGACTGCAGCTGAAACCTAGAATGTGACCTGGATTCGCTTAAGGCAAACATCAAGTCTCAAGAGGTTGTCCTGAAAGGAGAACCAGCTGTACTCATTCAACAGCTACAGCTGGTGTCTGCAACACTAACTTATCGCCCTTGGTTGCCACGACTGCTGAAGTCAAAGGGGACGAAGCAAACATTGTATGTTGGGATTGGATTGTGTATACAGTCAAAAGGCAGCATCCAGGAGGGGAATTCACAGACGGCTGCCAGACCTGCCCGTACTGACAAACTCAGATAAAGCCTGCCAGGCTGATGGAGGAAAACTTCAATTAAACATTCTGAAAGGGAGAAGAGCTCTGATCATTGGCTCCAGTCACTAATCCAGACAGAGTCTTTCTGTATGCATGTATGCACTAGTTCTGACATGAACTTGACTCTATCACTGCTCAGTGTATAGTCACATACAAAGCACAAACAAGTCCTAATACAAATTTAAAGCACTGAAACAATACATTTGTATTGGTCACATTAGCAGTATGGTTCTAGGTTGGCATTGTCGACTGCCAGTTGGTCCACCAACAACTGCTGGATGTTGCCCAACATCAGGTCAAAATGTGTCCAATACTGTAGTTAATGACCAAATACTAGCCAAAGCTAATGACATTCCCATCAGTCGCAACTGTACTTTGTGTTACCATGCTAGCAAGCTCAAAATGACAAAGTAATATGCTCACGTTTAGCAGGAGAACATGGTTAACATCATACCTGCCCAACATCAGCATTTTAACATTGGCATTGCAAGCAGGTTAGCAGACAGTTACAGGCAGTTACAGACTCACAGAGCAGCTATGATAGCTGTCGGCTCTCAGCCTTAATATTTATGGCATCCTGGCTGAATTGCTATGACGACCCTTTCCATACTTTATGAACGTCAGTCATGTTGATTTAAAGAGAATTTTAGATCTGTCAGCATAGAAAAAGCCTTTTAAAAAACAGCAAAGTCACCAGTTTGGTAGGTGAACATTTGGGAAACATTACTGCACTTAATACTGTTAAACAGTTGAATATATCCCATACTGCACGGTGAAAACATTTCATTGGCTTCTTTTAACATAGTCAGGGAAGGGACATCATATTGGTAAAAGATGACATTGACACACACACACACACACACACACACAAATAATCAAATTACAGTATGCTGATATTGCCGTTGGGCAGGTCATAATTTAATGAGGACATCCATTGTGAGCAGTAATGTGATTACTGCCATCATGCTCGACTTGGCTTGTAGACAAACAGTGACTCAGAGCGCAGGTGGTCATTCTGCACCGCAACGGAAACACTTCTGTCCCCTCTTGACAAGGTCATTTTCAGTGTAGCTATTATGCTACTGCGTCACAAGGTCGCTCGTAATGTCTTTAACATATTTTAGAGTCTCGTAAATGCAAATTTATGATTTAGTTGGTTGAACTACTCACTTTCTCTGTCTTGCGTCTCACTTTCCCCATCTCTCTGTGTCTTGTAGACGGCTACAAACGGGATGTCCCGGCCTAAAAAAGAAAGTCACAGATGTGTACTTTTATATTTGAGCATGACATGTGGAATCTCAGTTTCACACAAACAAAGACAAATTCTTTGCTTATTATCTTGGATTTATGTAATGCAACAGCTGCTTTTCCATATCTAGGCCACAAATGGGTAAACTCCCTCACCCTAAAGCCTTAAAACCTGAAATCAGAGGGGGAAGGGACAGCAGAGGAAGTGATTGGTGCACTTAGCAAATTGGGAACTCAGTATAGGAACACTGTGGTTGCGTACGGTGGAAAGTACACCATCCACTTGCTCGCTGCCTCCTTTTCTTCCACCCACGCTCTCTCTTTGTGGTAATGATATCATAGCCTCATCACATAAATTCTTGCAGGCAGGCTGTGAGGAGAGAGGTGGATTACAAATGTATGAGGTGCAGGACCACTGACGATCAGTGATGTCTGAGGTGTGCAGAGAGGGTTTGATGGCATTATGGTCGTTCCCCGTTTGATCCAAGATCAGTGATGATCACTTACTGAGGTTCAGAGGTGACTGACACAGAAGTGTTGGATCAGTGATTAAATATTGAAGCTGTGAGGCTTCAGTGAGACTGAAATCACAGAAACATGAATCTTTTGACTCTCTCCGTTTCTGTGGCAGCGTGAAGACAGTGATATGACAATTTGATATTTCTCTGATCTTGAAAAGTGCTTTGCCTCTTCTGTTGTTATTGTCATGCTCAGCACAGCATATATGGATCAAAGGTGGAAGGAGAGGCAAAATAAGATGGAAGTTCTTTCTTTTCAGTAAAGACTGGAGAATAGACACACAAAGACTAATATTATTTTCCTTTTTGAAGCAACCAAACTGGACGAGTGGACTCTTGGTGAACCTATTTTCTTCATCGTTTGTGCTTGGATACACCCTCTTTGACCTTGCGCACTTTATTGCTTCATTGTTAAAATAGATCCCTATGTGTCTACATAAAATGGATAAGTTGGACAAAGATAGATGAAGTGTAGTTCAAAAGAAGGGCGATATGACTCAAAGATACTGTGTTAGCTACCTTGGCAGTTGAGCAGGAAGTAGCTCATGTTGTGGCTGAAGGAGCCGCTGATGTAGCCACAGCTGTCGGACAAGGCGCACGACAGACAGCGGCGGTTGAACGAACCAAAGGTATCGGCGCTGTGGAAACAAATAAGAAATTTGGACAGATGCAAAATATTTCTGTCCCACTTCTAAAGCAACAACTGCTGATAACAAAATACAGAAAACAGCCGTTACCTGTACAAATGTCTTCGTTTTGGACCATCCTCAGTGCTCAAGAAGTATCTACATTAATAGAAAAGAATATAGCAGCAGATTTGAGTTTAACTGTAACATACACAGCAGCTGCACACAACAACTCAAACTGGTTTGTTTAGTCTTTTATGTGAGTTTAGCAGAGCTGTGTTCACCACTCAGCCTGGGAAGTGGGGAAAAAAAGCACCTGGAGCACACATGCAATGACCCAACTACTCACTAGAATAGATGTTTCATAAATGAAAGATGGGGGGGGGAAAGGGGGATGAATCCTTTTTAGAACAGAAGTAGGCCAAATCGTACCCCCTCTGGGAAAAGGTTTTTAGGTTTTTCAGATCACTCCAACACTGTGTAATGAATAACTGTTTGTATGCGATTTTGTGTGTGTGTAAATGCAGGTGTATACACCATGTTAGTCAGATCACAGTTTGGACTGGGGTGTGGGCATGAAATTATCTTGGAGCGATGAGGATGAGTCACATTCCTCAAGGGTGCAACAGAGACGCTGTTACACTGAACACATTTAGAGCGGTTTATTGTGTGGAACTGTACGAGCTGCTAGAACATCAGGCTCACCAGAATACACAGAGAGTATAGCTGCTGTCTCAAAATGTGGCATCAGTATCAGTGTGAGCTATACTCCTGTCAAAAATCAGTATTCATCTTAAACAGCGTCAAAGAATCTGCTCCATTGTGCTCTGTACTGAGGCACTCAAATTCAGGGTCTCTTTCTGTCTCTGTCCATGGTGCTGAAACATTCGACCCACTGTCTCTCTCGCATGAAAACTTCAGCAAAAACCAAGTCAAAGTGAGTTTTGCTGAAGCAGCAAGCCTGCTTTATTTCTGATGCCCCTGCAGGATCTCTAAAAGAAAGACAGCTTGACAAAACTTCATAAATATCCAATGGATGAGCTTAAGTGCATGTGACTTTTGATTGCTGGCGGTTTTTGTAGGTGCTCACATCAATTGGCTGTCCTCATTATAGGCCAGGACTTGGGTGACATCCCAGTCTCCAGACGTGATGGATTGCAGTGTGTCTGTACTGGTGTTGGGCTTCGGGGATAAACAGAAAAGTAGTAATAAGGGCACATTAAGACAGTAAAAGTGCTGATTGTATTGTCAAAATGTCTATAAAATACCAAGAGTTTAAATTCTTTAAATGCAAAATTGCCAGTTTCAAATAATATTACATTGTAAATAAATAATAAACAGACCGTATAATAAACAGGGAGTGTATTTTTGCTAATTCTAAACAATATTGTAGACATAAATATTGTTTTACCTGAGAGATGGACATGGAGATGTGGAAGAACTTGCCCCTGCCTCCTTGAGGAATGGCACGGGTAAAGAACAGCTTCAGACCATCTTTGGAAAACAGAGGCTTCTCATTCTGAATACACAGAAAATATAATTCAAATCTTTTAATTAACAAAACATAAATAAATAGAACACCACAAACATAAAACTACAGAAATGGGTTTGTCATTGCAAAAGTCCCCCCATTATAGTTTACGAAAGACAACATATAAAAGCTGGCAACAATTTAAGAGGTGAATATAAGCAAGTTTACCCCCAAATATAACTTAAAACTTAATATTCTCACCTGTCTGTGCAGCCACCCTTCACTTTCATCCTCATGTTTCTGTAAAAACAGGTTTCAGTTGTTGTATGAAAACAGGCCGTCAGTGTCTTTGATACAGACTGTACAGTACACACAATATATACACACACACACACACGCACAGAGAGAACTCCATTGTACCTTTGTGCAGACTCCCGTTGTGGCCTCGCACAGTGTGAGTATTGAGATGTTCTGGGCTCTGTTCAACCAGTTGATGGCCAGTTTGGTGGTGGTGGCCCATTTCACCATGGTCACGTAGTACTCACTGACAAACACAGAGAAATCATCAAATAATGATTCACATTGTTTACACTGTGTGTTAGCATCATCAGTGGGTAAATAACAAACATATCAGAAAATAAGACAGCAAGCGAAAAAAAAGAGGCCCACAGTGTTTCATTTACTAATTGCAGATTGTGATAGAATTTTAAAAAGGGATGAAACATTAATGATCTCTTGCAGAGAAATTGAGATATTAGAGGAGCGTATAATGAGCCAAAGCAAAGGAGGAATAAAAAATTGGGTATAAATACGAACAGAGCAAATGGGCATATTAAATCTAATGGAACTAAACACAGGACCACATTAAGTAAAAATGTATCACTGGAAAAATAGAATTCATAGAATATTCACAGATATGCACATTTTAGAAATATTATTTAGAAAATAAATAGCATCAGAACATGAATACACAAAGAGAGGTTACACATGAGAATATGTATTTACAGGATGTTACAGGAAGTGTGTATGACTTGATTGAGTAGAGATTGTTTGGTTGACAGCCTCACCCTATCCTGGGATCATCAGGTCTCCTCATCTCGATGGTGTGAAGAGGGCCGTTAAGGTTCACAACATACAGAGTGATAACTGGGTTCTCCTCACCGGCCTGAACGGGACGAGGAAAGAGGAGAGGATTTAAATAACGCTTCTAGCAAAACAGAAATATATTATCAGTTATCAAAGTAGTGTTGTGAAATAAAACTGTGCACCTTAGGGTAGTGGTACTCTTTCCCCATCGGGTAGGGTGTGCCTGTGAACATGGGCAGCTCCATCCTGGGCACCAGGGTGTCATTGATGGTGGCGTATGCTAACCTGGCACCATCTGGAGACCACCAATGGGCGATATGGGACTGGAAAATCTCCTCTGGAAAGAGTGAGAGGAAAATGACCATTAATCATAATGACAGTGAATAAAAACTCACACAGCAGAGACACAAGTTAATTACATGGCTGCAGGCCAACAGAATCAGATTGTTGCTCCTTGTCAGGGTTGGAAATTAACAGGTGTTATGGGAAAAATGTCTTTTAAATGTATACAAATGCTGTATAATTAGCAATATCATTGTATTGCATTGCTATCTTTTTTTTTTTTGGATAACACAGTGCCCAAACCACAGTACGCAGTACCACAAGAAAACGCTGTTCATCAACTAATTGTTTATCAATTAATAGTAATAGAATTCCCCCATAAAAGGACAATAATTCCCCTAAAAATGAGGTCAAATCTGCAGGAAATAAAACGCTGTCTGCCCTCCACTGTATTGCTCCAGCATACTAACTCTTGGCTGACCTGTTTGCTATATTTGGACTCACTCACTCTGTATCTCCCTCTTAAACCTACACACAAACACACACACAGAGTAACAAATGTTGAGGTCATAAATCACAATGGCTTTTAATCTCAGTACAGCCAGAACAGAACTCAGCTACATTTCCTAGAAATGAACCAAACAGCAATTTCTCACCAGGTACAACTACACAGTGTACTTTGCCAGATAACTTTAGTTTTCTGGGTTGCTGTTGCCTCTATATGTGTGTGTGTGTGTGTGTGTGTGCATGTCAACCATTTTAAGCGAGAGAAACTCACTTCAACTCATTTCAGATTTGAAACCTAGAGGGTTCCCTCGAGACCCTCTGCGTGCAGGTGTGTGTATTTAAAATTATGTAGCAATCACACACACTCTTGTACCACAGACAGACAGAACATAAGGGGGATAAAGGCAATCTAGGTCCTTCATCCCTGCTGCTACACACACACACACGCACACACACACACACACACACACACACACACACACACACACACACACACACACCTCTGTCAACACACAGTGAGTTATTAAGAAATTATGCAAATAAAAGCTCACTGAGGGAACTTTTTGACAACATAAAGCATGGCCGTGACAATTCTACTTCATTATTAAGCCTGTTGTGACGGCGCAGACGGCATCGAAACAGTTCGACTTATTGTTACGGCGTGCCACTAGCTACATTTAAATCAACTTTTGCAATTAAAATTTCATTAATGCTGTTTATCTGTGGGACTGGGTGCTGGCTTCGGGGAATTAACAGACATCAACTACCAATTAGCATTTTCATTAACTGTGAACGCTTGGTGGAATTACTTGATATGCAGCATCATTTGACAAACACCCTCAGTATAGACGCTTATGTACATTTGTTCTTTGATGCATTTCTGCAAAAGCAATTGCGTCTGCATTATCTTTCCACTGCTGGACAGTGCCAAACTAATTATTAACACCAGACATCTCTATGCCAGTGACAAGAAGAAACAGGTCTAATGGTAGCATTTGGTCCAGGTAGTCTTTGCTCTCCCTGCCTGCTTGGTGCGTCCACCAGCACCCTGCTGGCACAGCTCAGTGGGGAATGATTGGATCTCATTGTCTGATGATGAACCGAGCAGCACAGCAAAACATTACGCTGCATTCGCAAATGATGGGTGGGTGGGGGGGGACCCCAAAAACATAAAAACGATTTCCCGCATGGCCGGTTTCCATCGCTGCCTGCTGACTCCAACAGGGGTGGCTTAAAAAGCTTTCCATGTGGAGAGGAACCATCGGGCTGTCGGATCCGCTCGGCTGGGGACACCCAGTCACCTTGGCTGGTCAAGGAGAAAGTTTCTAGAAGCATCGTGATATGTGAGTGATAACAAAGGAAAGTGAGGGGAGAAGAGAAAGAATAAGTAATAATGAGAGAAGGGAGTGTAATGATGAGCCAACTCTCATTTTCTTTCACTTAAGTAATGAGATTGTCTCTTTCTTTTTCCAGCCTCCTCATTGTGATGAAGGTGAGCTTTTGGAGGCTCATCCCCTCTCTCCATGTTCTCCATCCTGCAGTGCAGACTGCATAATTCACTTAGTAAAGGACATTATTAATGCATGAGATACCATGAGTTAAGTTGCCAATGGGAAATAATGAGTGCAATTTGATAGATGCAGACAGACTGAACGAATGACAAAAAGAAAAGAAAATGAAACAATGCGGGTTGTTTTTAGTCAATTTTATGTTACTAGCAGGACAAATACATCAAGTAAACTTTGTATTGAGTGGTAGTGGGGAATGTTCCTGTCTTATAAATCACCAGATCTTTCCAACAGAGGGCAGCAGTGTCACATGCTCAAACTGTAAAGTAGAGCAGCACTATGTCACAGAAAGACATGCAGCTTTTTTGTTAGTTCTTAGTGTTTGATGCACTTTTTTAGGCCACTAAATCTATGTTATTGGAGTCTAACTACTTTCCTCTTGAATTCTGAATATTCATAGCCTGTAGTCCCTCCCACCAATCATAGGTCAGACTTCTACAGTCACCTCTACCAATCACAGAAGACAAAAGTAAACCCTAACAAAGGGGAACTAGATGAATTATGGCCTGCTAACTGATTCTGAACAATTTTATTAATAAACAAATATATAATTAATAAATGTAACTAAATTCACATGGCATACATGGCGAAATCCTAGGATATATAAGATTTAAAAAACTCACTAGTTTGCAGACACCCACCTTCCTCCTGGCTCACTGACAATCAGGTTGATTAGATTACATTCTAGTTTTCCACCCTATATGCCAAAAAACATGTCAGCGAAGCAGCTGTTACTATAAATACTGTACAGTTACCACTGTGCTGACTGAGGTAAGGTGCAAGTGATAATTGAGCAAGAATAGAAAAGCACATGACAAAGTGAGGTGAGATTTTTTTTTTTTTGTTGAGCATCTCCGGAGCCACAACTACAGTTTGTGGCTCAGAGCAAAGACAACTTTGCTAGATGATGCAGGGAGAAAATGCAAAATTCTATTGAGACAGTGAGTTGTTGTTTTGTTACGGGTCTATATTAAGCGAACACAAGGGGAGGAAAGAAAAGCAGAAGAGGATGTAACCCCTGTGTATACATTTACCCCTACAATGCTACAGATACACTCTCCTCAAAGTGAAAGATGTTGTTATATATAATATTTCATGGTCTCCCTCACTGGTGCTAAGCAATTGGAACTTCGAGGGAAACTTTTAAAGTTTGAAAAACAACCCTTATGATGCCATCAGTGTTTTAAAGTGGGGTTTAAAAGAAGAGTGCATTTAAGTGGCAGGGAAACGGTCTAATGAAAGATGTTATTGACTTATAATAATGGACGCATTATGGGAAATGTAGAATCCAGTGTTTTTGGAGCTTGACCCATACTAGAAAGTAGAAGTAAAGATATCACAGCCCCTGCTGTTCCCCATTCTTTTTTAAATATGTCTAAAATGGAGCACATGTTTAACACAGCACTTTACACAGATCAATTGTTTTCTGTATGTGATTGATAAAATTTGAGTTTTACTGGTTACATTCTATTCTATTACAAGCAAACCTTTCTTCATACCAAGAAGTCTCTCCATGTCCACCAGGGTGAGTCATTGTATTGTTTTACAGTATATCAATAGGCAATACAAACTGTCTGATGAACTGTATTGATGAACTGTAATTCATTTCCACCATGCAAGCATTTGGATCCATGGTTTCAAGAGATAATTAAAAAAAGCAAGCCCCAAAGATGTTATTTATAACATTACTTAAACTGTCATGCAGTTTTGTTGACTTGATCTTGTCACAAGTGGCAGAACAAGACAAGTTTGTTAACCGGTTGAGAAGAATTTCCCAAACCTGAGCACTAAAAAAGTTCTAGAAAACTATTTCCAACTGTGTGTCTCACATCAGTTTCACACCAAACTAAAACCAACATTTTTATTCCCTTTATTAATCTTTCCCTTTCAAGCACACGAGTGTTGATTATGTGGTTACTTGCTGCCTCGCAGGCTCAGCCACAAACAGAGCGATAAACAGACACAACCCTACGAACAAGCCTCTCGATGCAAACAAGTCATCTAGCCAAACATCTATGGGGCAAACATGAGTCAAATCAAAGCAATGCCGGTTTTTATCTCGGCGCAACAGAGCCCAATAAACAGTTGTTTCCTTGGGCTGCGTCACACTGCAGGATGTGTCAGTATCAGTACAGCCTCAATAATCAGACAGCGGACAGATGACAGAACACTTGAGACTCTCCTGAGGCGTTTTGGACTATTACACACAGCCGATGGGGTTCTTGGCTCTGTCTCTTTAATTGTTTTATTTTCTCCCATCTCTTTCTGTCTCTGCTGCATGCGCACACACACACACACACACACACACACACACACACACATCCATGGATTAAAACAGCAATGCGAGCCAGAGGATATTCAAGCCTGGGAGATTATTTGCCAACCTTTCACCCCTCAGCATCAAATCGGCCGCGCAGCGACAGCCAGAGCTTAAGACCTCATTTCTCCTCAGCGGCAGTCTGAGCCTCAGCTTGACCTTGGCCAGAGCAGAGCCTGAGTCATTAGCATGGAAAATCTTCTGCCTTGCAGTCTCGCTGATGAATGTAAACATTACACAACCTGGCGCGGTTTCTAAGCTCCCCCTGCAGATGCTAGCATCACCACTGGGCCAAAGCCAAATCTATTTACAGGCTTATAGACATTTTTGAAAAGGGATTTATTATTAATAGGAATGAAAAGGACTTTTAGTGAATTAGCAAACGTGAAGAACTAAAGCCAGATAAAAATAAATGATCATTATGAGATACTTGGAATCCATTTTGGCATAGTTTTGTGTACACCTGAACACGATGTGTGATTATTGAACATCCCATTCTAAAAGCATGGTTATCAATGTGCTGCTATAACAGCCTCCACTCTTCTGGTTTCAGGATTTCCACCAGGTTTCGGGAACCTGGCTGCAGGGATTTACTCCACAGGAGCATTAGTGATGTTGGGCACTGATAAGGTCTGACTCACAGCTGGTGTTCCAATTCATGTGTAAGGTACTGGACGAGGGGCAACCCCCCCCAAATTTCTTTGTGAACCTGGCTTTGTGCAAATTTAACAGCTTTTAAAGAAAGCATTTAAATTCATTCCTCCCTCACTGATATACGCACAGTTGCTACTATATTAGGCACACCTAGTTATAACTAATGCAGACTAATACAACGGCCCCGCAATAAATCCTACCTTCATTAAGGTAATAATGTTCTTCTTATAATTACTTTTGGTCTTTTTACAACTTTATTTAATAGAGATAGCCGAAGATAGACAGGAAATGGGGAAAGGAGAGCGAGGGGATGAAATGCAGCAAAGGGCCACCGCCTGGAATCGAACCCACTGCGCTGTGGTAAGGACTACACGGAGCTCTAACAGGTGAGATACTGGGGCGTGTTATGTTTAATATACATAAATATAGGACAAAATAATAGAAACACCTCTCAGTATAACACTGTACAATCCAACAGCACGACAAACCACAGCCTCCAAAAGCATCATACGGATAAATCAACTCTCTGACACAACCATCAATGGGTAAAATGTACCTGCTGCGGCTTTTCGATTGTATCTAACTTTGTCTAAATAAAATATCCAAGTCCCCCAGTCTTTGACTTTTCCTAAAAGTGTGTTATATAGCATCTCTTATTGCTAGAAATTGTCAACATATAGCCCGATTCAAATAATGGACATTTATACCAATAAGCACCAGCGGGTGAAATTTACCACTATACGGAATGCAATGATTTTTGCACGAGTAATTTTTAGCCATTCTATGTTGCAATTGGCAACGCCTTTTGTCCCCTACCATGATTTATTAGACCTGGAACATAAGTCACAGGACAACCGTCAATATGGATGAGAGAAAGACATTATTTATTATTAATGAAAAATCAGACACAACACTTGCTCAATGCAATGAGTGTCTGATGGTCGGTTTCCTCTTAGATCTATAATTTTCTCTCAACTACATACTATAAATACTTGATTTTTTATTATAGCACTGCTATACTACTATACTACTATATTGTCACCTTCATGATCAAAGAAAGAAGTAGAAACGTAGTCTTGGAAAAGTGAGACAGTATTCCTAGAATATTTTTTATAATATTTTCATGATCATTCAGCAGCGTCTCTGCTGCAGAAAATGTGCCCCCCAGACTAAGGCAAGTCTTTAACAAAATACTTTAGGGGAGACATGACAACAAATACTGTTTTTACTATAGATATTTAGTGTAACCTGGGAGTGGAGCCCGTAACATGACATGGAAATGAACCCGCACTCATTTGAGGTAAAGTTTAAACTAGAATAAAAAAAATTTAAAAAGTAAAAAAAAAAATATATATATTAACATTTCTGACTGCTTGTACCTTACCTTGGTTTTAGGTATACAGCCACCCCTGGTGGTTCTAGTGCTAAGCAAAATCTATAACCTTAATATGGGAAAATTAAGGGCAGGGCTGCTGTACTTGACTGGATTTGTTTTAGCCATGTGTAGCTAATAAACAGGCAATTGAGTGGAAATGTGGTAGGAAAAAAACCCATTACAAACGCCTCTCAGTTTAAAATTCAAATACAGCTAAAACTATAGCCTACAGACCTTCATGTGGGTTCATTAAGGACTGGGCTGTTTGATTATAGACTGTAAACTAGCCAAAGAAACCATAATTAGTAATAATTAGTTTAAACCTCTTACCTTTGGTTTTTCCGGTAACTACCTTATCATCTCAATATATATCTCATTATTTTAAGACACTGTTTGCAATCTCAACTTAACATAATGTCTGATATCTTTAATTATTGTGAATGAATAATTAAACATCCCATGATAACAGGCTTACTAATGCAGTAGATATACTAAATATTCTACTATATGACATCTCAAAATGATCAAATAATATGTTGTTATCAAACTGGAACACATCATGTTATCTTCATTTTGAAAGTTATATGCAGGAACAAAAACTAAATACAAATCTGTTGTCCTACAATTCACTTTTATCTCAACATTATGAAGCAGATTCTGTGTTTTATCTCTCGGTGAAAGATTTATCTGGTCAATAAATGAAGAGTGTAAATTACCAAGCCTTCAGCAGCTCATAAATATGAGTCAGGGGGTCAGACACTGCAATAACGCTCTGATTAATGTTTAAATGGCTGAGAATGGATATTGCTCTTGAAGGATGGACTTGGTTTCCAATGTCAGCCTGGCTAATGCAGAGATAAGAGGAGCCGTGGGTTGATAACATTAAATAAAAAACGGACTAGCCCTCAAGAGGAAACAGCCACACAGCTCTTGTCCTGGTGCACTGGTGACCTCAGATAACCTCTGTGTCACAGCTTCCAGATCCTCAGAGGCCTCCTAGGTGGCAGCCATTCACAATATCAAACACAAATGTATTGTTTTATAGCATTACCCGTGGATTAACAGCTTGTTGTACATCACAAGCTGTCTCTATTCCTGCTATCTTTATATCTATGTGCTTACCGCTCCCCATCTCCCTTTTCCTCTGTTATTAAAACACCGTTCCACTGGAGCAGAGAGTGCACCCAGCGCAGCGGATATAAATTCATTAGCTGAATACTAACACAGAACCCGTCCCGTTTTTTTCTGCGAGGCATGCAGGTGATTCTTTGATTGGTGGCGTTGACGCTTGGAGAGCACCATGACATCTGTATCAGACTGTGTATAACACACGCCACTGCTGAATTAATGCAAATCAACCCATGTAGAACATTCATTCATTTTCGGGGCTGTGTAAAACACACGCATATTGACAAGAGTTTCCATTTTTAATTTACCTGCAGGAAATCAAGTGCTACACACCAAAAATACTAATATGGCTGCAGATGTTGGGGAGTCATACTTTCTCATGTCATTACTCACATGTGTAACTACAGACTGTTCAAATTAGAGTAATGGGATGGAGGGGGGAGATAGAGGAAAGGAAAGAGGTTCACTTCAATATTTTACACAAGGTCTTCATGACTTAGTCAGTGGTCCTTTTTAACTTCCTACCCTGCTGATCACATGTGCCATATGCCAATGACTGGTGTGCAGTTCCACCAGAGACTGATTTTCCCCTCTCAAAATGAGGCGTACTGAGGTGAAAGTATCCAGTTTTTTACAAGAAGCAAGCAAATATTTGTGAAAAGTCATTAGAAACACAAGTGGAAGCTCCCAAAGTTAACACAATCTGCTTACCTAGTACCTGTAAAGTTCACAATTTAACATGTTATATCTTGTTTGTTTAATCTGTACAAAACTCTAAGTGTATAAATGACAATTTGCAGATTTCTATATTTTTCTGCCTTACCTTCATACAGCCAATCACTGAGCCCGTTGAAGATTACACCCTCCTTTCCAGTAGACACTAAACGGATGGAGCGGCTCTCCACCGTAGAGCGATAGTAGATGTTGTTCTCAAAAATGAAGATCTACAAGAGGCGGAAAGAAAGGAATTACACTTTAATCAAATTTTGAAATGGCAAAACAATACACCAACCGCCTTCAAAGTGGAAAATCCTCAATAAGAGCTTCTTTTCAAGCGGCAGTTGTCCTGCTGATGTGTTCTTGTCCATGACACCGAATCCATTCCAGCTCTAAGGACATTGATCTAAAGCTGACCCTGACTGACAACCTTTCTACAGAGAATGTCCTTACGCTGAATAAGCTGTTACATCATTACTATTATCAACACGCACAAGCCTGAGGACAGTATGGTATTTATACTGACATGTTATATTGCAGGTGGGAGATCTGGGTAGGGCAGAGGTCATGCTATCACAGTTAAGATCAACCCGGGGAACAAAACACACATCAGCATTGTGATTTTTCACCTGTCACGCACAAGAGAACAGTACACATATCAGCAATATCACCTTTTCATGAGAGGGAAACCAAAGTTTTTGTCAAGATACAAAGAGGAAAAAAGAAGTCTATTCAATTTATGATAAGACCGGCGAACCTTGGGACCAAATTTTGACTTTGACGCTTTCCTTCACAGGCCTGCAGGGCTTTCAAGATAACTGAAGGTCAACTCTTTCATTACAGAGAATAATAGATCATCAGCACCCACAGTGAGCAGGGTAGGGTGGGGCGACTCTAGGGGCTGGAATTTTAAAATGTTACAGCCTTAATGCCATGCTGAAATCAATCTCAGGCTATTACAGAAAAGGGTTCGCGCTCAGTATCTCAAGGATTATGGAATCTCTTGGCCTCGAGCTGGTATCATGGTATCAGTTTGTGAATGATTCTCCAATAAATATTCACTCTGAGAAGTCTAAATGACGGGACGACGCACAGCCGGAAATCCAATATTGTAGCTGTCTACGTTAGCTGCATGTGGATTATTTTTGCTTCTTTCTACAGTGTATAACAGGTCGACGCAACAAAAAAAAAAACACTACTCCATGAATTTACAGTAATTTAGCATTGTGCAATCTTTTACTATACAGTGTCTCAGCAATGTGGTATTTAGCATACACAGTGCAAAACTAAGTAGTTAGCAAAAGGTTTCTCCTGCATCTCTTTGACGATAACACAAATCTGTCACAATTAGTTTCTCTTAAGATGCCGCAATCTGGGAGCCCATGTGGTTTGGTGTCACTTTGGTACAGATGGAGTCCCTGTATAGAAGCTAATCTAGGCCACAGCACTGAGAGAAGACCTGGCCCCGTTCTCTGAAGGAAGGTAGAACTCTGCCAGTAATGGCGGGGATCCAAATTTAGGATCCTCAGTAAAATAATTTGGAGGAGAGTATACAAACTTTGCTACTTTAGTTTGTTTAGGTGGATGAAAACAATACCAGGCAACTGCAACTGCACCAACACGATGAGACACTTCTTTACAAAGTAAAATATGTGTTTAGGTCGAAAAATTCTAAAATAAATAAATACAAAATAAGTATGAATTAAGTTTATATTAAATTAATTAAAAATTAAAAGTAAACAACCCCAAAACGTGAGGTTTTAGAAACATATTAATGTGCCCTAAAGTGGTATTTAAGGGGCCGATTTCTCAAGTCTGAGAAAATAACCCAAGCACCTGTGTGCTGTATTTTCTGGGAGACGCATGGCTCTAGGGATGGCAATGTTCATCAGTAGGTCAGTGGGTCAGTGTGTGCACCATTTTGGTCCAGACCGGAATGTCTCAACAACCATAGGGTGGATTGCCATGAAACTTGGCGCATTGTTGATCTTGAAAGAAGGCAGAGAATACAACCCCAAATCACAGAGATGCCGATTCGCAAGGGACTAATATTAAATATATTAATATTACCACATGACCTATGTGTTTTGGAGGGAAATACACTAGGTCATTTGCAGTGGAATTTTGACTTTACAAACAGTGAACATGGGGTCCATCCATCCCATTCTGTGTGAATCTTGTTTAGCGGAAAGCCTGTGTTGCAAACTGGTGATGTGGAGTTTGAAAGATGTCTCTCACACACACACACACACACACACACACACACACACACACACACACACACACACACACACACACACACACACACACACACACACACACACACACACACACACACTCACTATCTCTCTCTCTATAATGTAATACAAAGGTTAGGCTTCCTGGGGCTAAGCGTCCAAACTTTGATTGTGTGAGTGTGTGTCAGCCACATGTTGAAGATTAGCCGCCTACAGGGAACAGGGAATAGGAACTCTTTCATTCACTGGGGGATTTACTTTCCACAGAAAAAAAAAAAAGAAACATATTTGTGCAGACACAAGCATCTGCGAAAATAAGATGCCACTCATGCACTCGATTACATTGACTTTTTAGCCTAACAAATAGCTTAACATGTGGCTGGACAGCTGTTTTTGTGAGTGTAAATATGGGCATGTACTGAATGTGCACACTCTCTATGGGAAAGTAAAGGAAATTTAATTAAGTGCATAAGGGATTGGGGAACAGGAAAACAGGTGGACTGATTCATGTATATTAGGTGTTTCTAATATGATGAGGCATGCCTTGGCTTGCAGACTCTGTTAGCTTGTTTTAGCTGATGGACATCTCTCACTTCAACCTCAACCTCTTCGACAGAGGACATCTGAACCTTTAGGGAAAGCAGCTGCTGCTCAGTTTCACGCTAACATAACTCGCCTGATGGAAGTAAAGCCACTTCATGACTAATGGTGGGAAACTTGAGGCTATATCAATCTAGCGACTGTGTTAATTAATCCACTGACGAGATAACAGGTAATTAATAGCATTGTGCTGCAGGATGTTATCACTTACAGTCTGTCTGCCCTGCAAACCAACAGACTGAAGCTCATTAATGCTCTGACAAGTTCGACTGTGTGATGATGGAGGCGGAAAATGACTCATCTTGGAAAAGTTACAAAGGACCATTGCTCCTTGTGCTTCAAACAATAGTGTTTAATTTAAAATATGTTTACTGGGAAGTCTCAGTGAATCATTTGGATGATTTACACCCTGAGGGACAACATAGTTTGTGTGTTTAAAAGACTCAAACCTATTCCACAAAATTGGGTTGAAGAAAATGCTGCCTCTGAAATATAGTCCTAACTCAGGGGATGGATCCTCCATATTTCAAGACCAAATTTAATTTAACGGGCCAACAAGGCTTGTTCCACATCAAAATGTCTTCCAAATGCAGCCAAGAAATGCAGCTGTCGTTCCAGCAAATTTGGAGGACACAAGCTGTGAATCCTTTGCAGCCCTGAGCATCCCATAATCAATTGTGCGCTGGTCAATTGGTCAGTGTAATGGAGCATTCAGGTGATCTTGGTCAGCTCATAAAAGACAGAAAATGCAATGCGATCATGACCATAAATATCAGGTATTTGTGTTGAGGGGGTCATCAATCACTGGTGAATCTATCACGTGAAGTGGACCAAAGAAAAAGTCACTGGAGGACGTAAATAAAGGCAGTCAGGCATAAACTCCTCTTGTTGTTCTTGTTAGCAGCCTGATTTGTGAATCAGAGGGTGTTGTATGGATACATTTACTATTACCCTGACACCTTGGTTGCCAGTTGTAAATTGTGTGTTTAAGTGAAATGTAACAACTCTGACTGTAACCTCAGGTATAATGGAATGTGTTCCCACTGATATTTACTCAGCCATTTAAGGTTAATTTCTTGAAATATCTGACTTTATAATTTGCCAAGGAGCACTTGAATGCACCATTAGTTTTGTTCTAGGTTGGCTTGACCCACCTTCATGGGCTGCAACCTTCAAAGGATTTGACCTAATCCGTATAAAGATTTACTTTGGTCTTCATTCATCAGGTGGATACAGACACGAATCCAAATGAATGCTAAACGTGCTGCTAATGTTATCCGTCAGTTTTGTGTTAGCAGCTTGTTGATGCAGGTTTAAATATAGGAGTACTTTTCACAGTAGCTTCATTACTCATTCCAGCTCCTCCCATCAGGGGGCCAGTAAATTTCCCTAAATTCCTGAACTTATCTTCCATTAACTTTTTACCAGCAGTAAAGGTCAGTGCATGCTTGCATATTTTGCACTTGGCTATGTCTGGCACAGCCATTTTGTGATCTAGTGTGTATGCTCTGCATCAAAGTTTCAATGGTTACTGTAAATGTTAGTTAATAAAGATGGTTTGAATGTTAACTCTGAAACGTCACTGGTCAGTAGGTGGAGATTAGCCCAGAGGCTTTATGAAAATTGTAGTTCTTACCAGTTGCTGACCCTGGGGTCCCCAGCCTGCGTACTGCAGCTGAGCATTTCGCACCTCTGGAGGGTTCAAGTTCCACGTCTCCCTGGGGTGCACAGACAGAGAAAACAACGCTATCAGATAGAATTGCAGACACATACACACAGTGAATGTGCTCCCAGTGCTGCTGCAGCACAAGAACAAGTGTAGCACATCTGAGAACAAAGGTTTAAGTGTAACCATAAATACCACTGCTCTATAACAGTGTCACCTCTCCTTATTGGGAAAAGTGCTGCGCAGTGCAGGCTGCAGAATTAGAGGTGCCACTGCCTCTATGTCTTTGTCTGGAGCTGAGGATGAATGAGGTCATCAGCTGAGGTGGGTTTTTTGGCACACTACCACTGGGTGGCAGCACACAAATAGATTTGAGCAGGAGAGCTGCTGACAGGGCTGTAATACTGTGACCTGGTGTGGAAGTCATTCAAAAGGGAAATAAGTGAGGTGTCTACTTACTGGACAAAATGGCCATAATATGTATTGGCTGGGGATCAACACCAGTTAATCAGTTCTGGATGTTTTGTCAGGAGATAGGACATAATTTGATGTCTATGTTTATGTTATGATGGTTTTATTACACCTTGGGGCAGCTGTGGCTCAGGAGGGGGAGCAGGTTGTCCTCTGATTGTTGAGTGAGGGTTGGGTCAATCCCCAGTTCCACATGTCAAAGTGTCCTTGGGCAAGACACTGAACCCCAAATTGCTCCCGAGGGTCAGGCCAGCACATTGCATGGTAGGTCGCTGCCATTGGTGTGTGAGCGTGTGAATAAAGGGCAACCTGGATAAAAGCGCTATATAAATGCAGACATTTACTATTTATGTGAACATTTTCTGCTACTCTTTCATATGTTTTAACACAAAGAAATGAAGATGGGAGATGTTAAACTACAGCAAAGAGTGCAGACTTGTCACTTTCTCGAGCCATGTTAACAGCTAAAAAACGACAAGAGAGCTATAATTGACTTTGTGGTATTGCTATTACAGCATTCTGCAATGCACTGTAGCATCTCCATGCAAGTATGTCTTTTTGATCTCTCTAACCAGATAGCATTACAATTGAGAGTGTGCCTTTTTTCAAAGCTTCATGTTAGCGAATAAAAATGACATCTGTAGATGTTAGGGAAACTTGGCTGCCATTTGAAGACACGGATTACATTCCTTTTCACTTCACAGACAGCGCTGGTGGAGGTTCGGAAGTTAACAGTGTAGCTGATGTCAGAGGTGCTTCGTAGGAGGTACAGTGAGAACAAGTTGTGAGAACAGGTGGGAATGAGTTGCTCTCAGTGTCGCGGGCAGCGGGGTCAGGTGAGATATTACAAGATAAGATAATGAAATACAGGATAAATGGAACAATGCAGCTCTGTCGCCTACTTACGGAGTCTCCAGACTGCAAATGATGTAGAAGGCCGTATAAGAATACTGGTACACCTGGAAGAAGAGTCGTCAGGTCATTTCATATGTTTTTTTCTTTTATTTAGAGAAATCAATGTGGATGTTGCAGTTAAACTAGACTTACTAATTAATTATTTGAAAATTAAGAAGGCAAAAATAAAATCAGACATTGACAATAATGAATTCTTTGAACTTAACAATGAAAAGGGGAGCTGGGGCAATTCTGAGAAATAATATCGTTGTTGTGATAACTATAATATTTTTGCCCTTTTGTTTTTCGGTCAATATTGGTGTACATAACAAAGGAAAACAAAAAATTAAAAAATAAATTAATTGACATTGACAAAAATGCAGAAAACCTTGCAGAACACTTGTTGGTGCATGTAAAAATAGATTTAAAAATACCAGAATTATCCTTTAACATGCCCTAAAAAATCATGCTTTTGCTAACTTCCAGTGGTAGTATACTCCAGGACAGTACTAACTACTTCTAACTGTGACACCACTGTTGGATATGGTTACAGATGAAACAACCTCGACTTTCAAGAGAGGGCAGAAAATTTTGCTTTTCAGCCTGATGTTAAGTCACTCTTTAATTACTCACCAAATCAACATATTTGGCTCTCTTCTGTTTAACTGGAAGCTGCTATGGATTTCATTGGCCACCCTCTAAAATCAGGATATGTTACTGTGATCCGATATGGACAAGATGTCAAAAAACAAAAAAACACTGAAAACCTGGAATCATCTCTTACACTCAAGTTTTATCTTTAAAATCCTAATCATAATTAACTATATCAAAAGTTATTGACAGATGATGTGTTACAAATAGTCTAATATTGTATATGCTACAAAGGATGTATGAAAGTCACTGCCCACTAGAGACACTTTCACATTCAAATGGAGAACGTTTTTTATGTTTTGGTATGCAGACACTGTTTATTATGAACACCCATATTACATGTTATAGAGATGAGGTGTGCGTGAGTGTGCATTTGCCAGCCCGTGACTGTGTGCTGCTACAGTGAGGGTATAGGAGGAATGACTGTCATCTATCAAGGTGATGGAGTTTTGGATGGAATAACAAATGCAAACACATGCAGTACAACACTCCAGACATCGCTAGTGTGTCATAATATTTTCAATTCATCTCAGGCAATAACACAAGGTTATATCTCTGCCAGCATCCTTCACACACTAACAACAGGAACTCTACAGTGACTCAGTGGTGAAGCAGAATGAAAGTCAACACAGACACTAGCTAGCAAAATGATTCAATATGTTTGATCTACCTATATTAGGAGCTGAAATTCTTTGGTGCACATCAAAGCGCTGGCAGAGTTGATGTAGTCATGGGACACTTTATTCAGAATTGCACAGAAACGATGAATTCCCAGCCAATACTTCGTCTTCCTTCTGTCGATCTCATCTCCCTCACTGCAAGCCCGTGCAGCGCCGAGGGGTTTGTTTGTGTTTCTGCCTCCCTCGCTACAGTTCCACTCGGCTGTGCTGGCCCCCGTCGCCATCGCTGACAGGCAGTGGTGTGCGACAGGCCTTCACACCCCGCCATGATTACTTTCTCCTCCCACCCTCATTCCTCTCTTCCCTGCCTTCGCGACACTATGAGCCTATACCCCACCCCCCTCACTGGAGGCGGCTGACATATTTGGCTGTCAGTTTGCTAATTCAAAAAACAAGCAAACAAATGAGAAGCTCACCGGTGCAACGTTGTAGGCCAGCAGCACATGCTTCATGTCAGGAGACACCTCATACTTGCTGGCTTTGTACATTTCCTGGGAAGCCAAGGCAGATGTAAGAGGAGAAAAAAAGACAAAAAGATGAGACCTTTAACCATGCGTGGTATTTTTTCATTAAACCAGTCCTTAAATGACTGCGTTTGACGGATTGCTCGGCTCTTGAAGCAAATGGGAGTTGCATTAATCTTTGCACTAGGGCCTGGTGATTTGATGGCGGACATAATGTTGTGTGTCGTCACCCAAGCCGCTAACGCTACATCTCCTTCTTGATGTTTCCCCACAAAACCAAGCCCCAAGTTTTAACTATGCAGTTCACATTTCACAGTAATAATGGATCATTTGATTAAGCTTTGTAACAAAAAAAGAACTTTGGGGGCTTTGATTTGCTGACACTATAAGAAAAGTTTTAATTTAATTTGTGGGCAGCAGTGGTCAGTTCTTTAGTTCTGTAATTGTGAGAAAGTAAGAGAGACGATGACAAAAGACTTACAAACTTCTTGTTATGCACCAAGATGGTCTTTTCATTGGTGTCCAAGTTGAACCTGACGACATCGCCATCACGATTACGGTACAATAGCTCATTACCTGTAAGGAGAGGGAGAAAGAGAGAAATAGAGACTTTAATTTGAGGTTTTACATAATGAAATAACATCTTTAAAACTCTACAGGCATGAAAATATTGTCGGAAAGTCTTTCAAAATAAGACCAAAAAAAAAAAACGAAAAGATTCAGACCCATAAAAAGCTCTGTATGATCTAATATCCCCAAACCTATCCTGTGGATCAGAAAGATGGGCAGACACAATCACTACCCTTCTACAGTCAGAACACAATGACAAAAACAAATGTAACTCAGTGACATGAGACAACGAGAGATTATTAGTTATGAACTTGGCCCTATGTTATTTTCTGATGTCCAATATATCTGCCTCGTCCTGCATATGTAAAAATTGTACAGGAAGTGGCACTAAAACAAGAAATGTAACCTTTGAAAATTTTACATAACAGCTGCTGGCACGACAGAAAGAGCAAATATTCAATGTTAATGAAGTTATTAGCTGTCTTGAGCACTAACAACATAATTAAATTTTAGGGGATGCTTCTATTTATTACCCTTTTAAATATCAAAGGCATATTAAATTAGGCTTGTTTGAAAGTTCTACTCATCTATCAGCAACCAAAAAAGTGAAACTTTTATGAAGACGTGCAACAGTTATCAATGTGTCATTAAGTGGCATGAAAAGATGTGGTGGATTCTAATCTAAAAGCAGGGGTTTTGGCTTCAACAACTAATTAACTTTATCAGCTGCAATACAGCCTTGTTATGTTTGAATCATTTTCTCTGGTATGTCACATCAAGTCACCCCTACTCTTCTCACCCTGAAGAATAAACTACTGCGGCTGTGAAAACCCCTAACCAAGTGCCAGTATTTGGTTTGTCCCTTCTGGGCTACTATAGAAACATGGTGGATCAACGTGGTTGCCACAGAGAGTGGCCTGCGGCATTTGTAGATATAAAAGGCTCATTTGACTGATGGAAACGGCTCCAAAATTGTCATCATAATTTCATTTGACTATTGCAGAATCTTGATTCGTGTATGTATGTGACATTACCATTTTCCAACTAATGCCGCCCCCTTGGAACCAATGAGAAGAGCTCATATTAAGTGGCTAATTTTCAGGGCATTTTATACAACTTTATGGTCCTTTACACAATGTACAGCACTAGAGTGACATTTTTCCCAAAATGACATGTAATTTATGAAGAGAACTTTCACTTTACAACTTTCAACTAGGTTTAACAAAAGTGCTCTAGAATTGGACCTACTTGATGCTTTAGAAATGGCACAGCTGTGCCTGAATACAAATGCTTCCAGCACAAACACAGTGAGTTCAGGCCACCAGAGGAAACCCTTGAAGGGAGCCATTATTTGACAGATGTATGAAAGTTCACACAGCTCCTCATCCATCAGGCCTTTATCAGGGAAGGATAAGTTTAATACAGCAACTGCCCCCTTTCACCTTCAATCTATCTGCGCAGCTCTTTCTTATTGCTTTAGTGATCCATAGGCGCACGAGCAACCACGCCATTTGCCGAGGTAATTAGAACCCAGAGATTGTTATGCAGAGTGGTCTCTATCTGCTAGCATATCTAATTGTCCATTAGAGGTGACAAAATTACCATCACAATGGCTTTAATTCAGAACGTGCTTGGGAGAGCATTTTCAGACAATTTTAGATTGGCATAGCCAAACGCCCCCTCAACAGCTTTTGTCTCCTTGTTAAAAACCATCGGCATACTAACAAGGGTATAAAATGGACTCCGTCATGGAATCGTGGGGATAAATAAAGGAGTGCTGCTTTTTTCCACCATATCCCATTATTTTAGTTTGACTTTGTGTGGCATCCTGTTAACGGTCTAGTTTTATATATGAAACGGTAATCGCAGATGATGCGGCTTGAATGTGCAAAACCAAAGTTAATATGATGATAAATCAGTGGACAGAGAAATTGATTAGACTTAATTTTGCTTTGTGATTTTCTCTGTTTTCATAGTCAGGCTTCATTCTGCATCTCTTTAAGCTGCTTTTTCATCTATATTCTTCACCAAATCACTGATCTTCTTCTTTATCCACATGCCCCAAGACACCTCAGATATACCTCAAATCGCTCAAATCCTTCCCATCGCTGCCCTTTTATAAGTCCTCCTGCTGAGTTCATCATTTTAGACCTTATCATCCCTCCTTCACCTCTCCCAACTCTTTGTTTTCTGCTCTTTCAAAGACCAAGAGCCATCTATTCTTTCACAGTACCCTAGGCATTATGTCTTCCCTTCAATCCATCTCTTTCTAGCTCTCTCTCTTTCTCTTTCCACTCTACCTTCACTCACTGTGCATTAGCCCAGGGCCCTGTTTTCTCCTGTGATCTATACCTTTCCATGGCAGTATGTCTTATTAATACAGCCTCCTGCCCTGGGCACAGCCCTAACCCAGCCTCACTCCAGGGAGGCTGAGATAGGAGGCTACACTCTTGAGTGAGACAGAGAAAGTAAGAGAGAAGGACCAATTTTATACACCGATCAACCATAACATTATGACCACGTAGGCACACTGACTGGTCTGCAGCTACGCAGCCCCATACCAACTGCGATGCACTGTGTGTTCTGACACCTTTCAATTTGAGCTACAGTAGCTCCTCTGTTGGATCAGACCACATGGCCTTCGCTCCCCCACGTGCATCAGTGAGCCTTGGCCACCCATGACCCTGTATCCAGTTTACTTCTTTCCTTCCTTGAACCACTTCTGATAGATACTGACCACTGCAGACTGGGAAAACCCCACAAGAGCTGCAGTTTTGGAGATGCTCTGACCCAGTCGTCCAGCCATCACAGTCGCTCAAATCCTTGCGTTTGCCCATTTTTCCTGCTTCTGACACATTAACTTTGAGGACAAAATATTCAGTTTGTTTGTTATTATGTGATTTAGGCATGACAAAGACAAAGTCCTTTGATTTTTTATTGCTCATCTCATGGTGATGTTAGGGCTACTCCACTGACTTAACATTGCACTTAATATAACACTGTTGCTCTCACACTGGACAGTTTAAAAATCCAAGACCTGTAAACAGACTTTGATGTGGACAAGTTGTTGAGTTCCCCTTTAATTCAGTTATAATACATTTTAGCTGTGATGAACATTTTTGAACCTTTCTGTGGCAGATTTTGGAGATGGACAGGAGACAGAGTTCTGTGTTTGTATTTCAGTTGTCCGTGTACAAAGGCATGTTCTTAGCTGACTATTCTTTCCACTGCAATGATATTTGATATCAGATTATCTAAACCACTTTATTTGGAAGTAAAACTGAAAGTGAAATGCCTGCTATTACGAAGAGAACTTGGGTAAGTTTGGGTAATAATAATAATAATGTTCCCATTTTGACCCATATGATTGTCTGACTGATAATGTTTCTTTCCACATTAAACTTCTTCCTAGAAATGTCACCGTGTTCCCAGGTCTTAGAAACTGACTTGATGAGTGCAATTATTATCAGTGATAGAGTTGGTGGCCAAAACTACTAAATACAACTCACATTATACTAAATTGGCCTTTGACAATTTAGTACAATCTCCACTCTCTGATGCTCCACTAGGTCCTTTTCCTCACCTGGGAAAAAAAGTTTTTTTTCTGGTACTTCAATGACATCATTGTACTGTAGGCTTCACTTCAACCAAGCCTTTTTGCTTCATTTGCAATATGACAGCTTAATTAAGAGACAACATAGTGCTAGAAACACTAGTTAATACTACTTCAAGGAAAATCAACTCTAGTAGTTCTTGAAGTGAAATTACCCTAGACATTTTTTTCAACGTTGCTCACTCTACTGTCTTCTCTATCTACTTTATACAGTCCCACTTAACCCTTCCTTGAAGGCAAAATTATAGTCACATCATTAAATGCATTCAAAGTTCTCCTGAGTGTGTAGTGTTCCAATTAAGAGGGTTAGAAACACTCCAAGAGAATACTGTGAGAGTCCTCAACACGCATGTACTGATATATGTCCTAAAAAGGCTGATGGGTTAGATTAGTAAGGAGAGAAATGACTACTTATATCTTTTGCAATTTCTCTGGCTCATATCACATAATTTACCTTAGGAGTAAGTTTATATCAAGCCTAAAATGTAGACTGATGAAGGAGGTTACTTTCAAAAATGTAAACAGATAGAGACAAATAATGAGATAAATAACTTGTACATCACAGTAGGAATTTAAATACTTCCTAAATGGCCCTAATCTCAAATCCTAACCTCAACATAAAACAACACCATGTGATTACAAAACACTGTGGGGGGATTGGAATTGGTCTCTATGGACTATATTATTAGCTGTGAGGTGAGGCAGGGTTACAGTGGTAAATTCTGGATTTTTCTTGTTGGTTCCAGGTCATTTGTCCATGCCCACGGCTGCAGATGATGACTGGTCTGACAAAAGCGACACAAGAGGGAGAATTATGGTGTTTGTCTCCAGGCTAAATAAAATCTGCAATGCAGTAATACATTCTTAAACTTTTGCCACCTGGCGTAGATATGTGGTGAAATATAGGCTCATAAAAAAACTTAAATTTCCAATAGTAGTTTCATTCTCATATCGTTCTTGAAAGGGAATTCCACATAATATCTGTGTGTATTTTTCTATACTATAGCAAAGCTGCTCTTGCAACGGCATCAACTTTTCTGACTGCAAGATAAATGAGCATAGTAACAAATGAATGGCAGAGCAAACAAATGAGCAAAATCCTCAAGTATGAACCTGCTGACAAAATATGAAACCACCCAGGGCTACTGCAAACCTGCTGCTGGCCAGTTTTCACAGTAGAAGACATTTATGTTTATCAGGAATGCCAATCAGTGTGTGCCTGCTGGCTTCATTGCTCGCTGCCTCTTTTGCATCACCATTAAGGTAAAAAAAAAAAAAAACACAACATGGCACATTGCCAATTCCTTTCTGTTTCATGCTGGTTAGCTTTCCCAATACAAATAATGTTTTCTTTCTGTCTTATTATTGGGTTTACTTGGACCTTGGATATCTT